TTCCTCCATGGGTGGCCAGAGTTTCCTCATTCCTCACAGTGGGAATCTTGAAGATGGACTCGCATCTTTCTGCATGTTTTCACATTTGACAAATGTGGAAGATCTCTGCTCACCTGTGAAGGATGCGGCTCAAGACTCTCATGGGTCCCAGAGACTTATCTGGAGGTGATGTGTTTTTCCTAGGATAGAGTTCAGTTTATAAGTGAGGCTCAGTAAGAGATTAACGATGGTAATAATGAAATAGAACAGTCATACAATGAAACCACCAACATCACCATCCTCTCTAGTCATTATTAAATAGGTTGTGTGTGTCTGAACACATTTGCTGCCTGATTGCAGCTAAGTGACTGACAGTGGGTAGCACATACATGGTGGATACCCTGGATGAAGGATGCTTTATGTTCTGGGTAGAATGGGAGTAAGTGGTGATGATATCCAGCTACTTAGAATGGTGCATAATTTAAAGCCTATTAATTATTTCTGGAATTTTCCATCTAATATTTTCCAACCAAAACATCAGGTAAGGCGGAGGATGTGATTACAGTGCCATATACAAAAAACAAAAAACTTTTTGGTTTTTTTTTTTTTTTTTTTTGCTTACCATCACATTTGAGATATTCACATAATTATATAAAGTTCTGATTCATTCATTTTATTGCGATATAATAGTTTGCAGCTTAAAGTTCATGTATATTTGCTCAACTTCCATAAGATGCTTAAGTGAGTGGGCTGGAGAGATGGTTCAGTGGTTAAGAGCACTGGCTGCTTATGCAGAAGACCCAGTTTGATTTACAGTGCCTATATGATGGTTCACCACCATCTCTCTCCAGTTCTAGGGAAACTGACCCTCTTCTGGATTCACGGGCACCACACATGTGGAGCATGGACATACATGCAGGCAAAATACCCACAAATACACATAAAACCAATTTTTTTTTTTCAAAATCAGGGTTTCTCTGTAGCTTTGGAGCCTGTTCTGGAACTCACTCTGCAGACCAGGCTGGCCTTGAACTCACAGAGACCCACTTGCCTCTGCATCCTGAGTGCTGGGATTAAAGGCATGCCCACCACTGACCAGGTTCAATTAATCAACTTTTTAAAAGGACTTAAGCTATCCCTTCTATTTACTGCTATACACAGGGAAGCAAGGAGTGGCTGATGTCTCTGTGATCAAACTGTCCACAGTGAAGATAGTACTGCCCTTGGCACAGAAACAGTGCAGAACTGTGTGAGGGTGATATGACTACCTGGGACAGGGAGAAGAGTTTCTGCTTGTACTTCCCCAGAACACACACTGTTATGAAGTGACATAGCTGGGATTCGAACCTAGGTCATCCAACTTGGCAGTCTACACCCCAAGTCACTACATGATCATATCCCTCAGTCTATCTGTTCACCCTTTCATCTATTCCTCATAGCTGCCTGCCACCCAGTCCCATCACTCACCTGTCACTGTCAATCCAGCAGCCCATCCATCCATCCCTGTCACCCATCCATCCTGAAGGAAATGCAGTTGGCCACCTCAGACCCTGAGAGCAGAGGAGGCCCCGCAGCTGCCCATCTGGTGGGGTGGACGAGTGGGTGGGGTGGACGGGTGGATGGGCTGCCCCCATGGGCAGGGTGCAGAGGCTGGGGAGAATTAGGCAAGTTCCTGCCAGGACCATCTAATTAGGGATTCTGGCGATAAGCAGATAGCATCGGGGTGATTAGAATCCTTTTAAAAAGCCACTCCATTAATTAGAGAGACAGAGGGGCCTCTGGCTGCCTAATGAGCCTCCATCAGTTTGCCTGGGGAGGGATTCCTGGGGCTGCTGTGTGACTGTGGGTGTGCCTTGCCCTCTCTGGGCATGCTTCTGTACAGAGCTGGGCTCTTCTGAGATCCCCTAATCATCTCAGGTCCTTTCTCTTCCCAGAGTCCTTTTGGAGATTGTGGATTTGAAGCATCAGATGCTGACTCCCCAGAGAGGGGGAGGGGAGGGGGTTCTCAGGATCCTACTAGTGAATGAGGACAGAGATTTACAGAACAGAAATGACCCAACCGTCGTGGAATCAGGATCACAGGGGCTGGCTAATGTTCCTGCTTGTTCACCATGCTCTGCACTCAGATGCTATGTTCCTCCCACTTGGACCCCCAAGCACTTTAGGCTTTGGGATCTCACAGGACATTAGTTTGTACAACTCTGTAGAAGGGGAAGTTACCTCAACATGCTGCCACCAAGTGGTTATCCAGTTCTAAATTTTGTGCATTCCTTCATGGCCCACCTAGGGGGTCTCCATTGTCAAGGTCCCTTTGGCTCTGAGAGGCCCTGAATGTGTTGATGCCCTAAGTCATTGTGAGTGTTCTCTGACCTGGGCAATCCCTGAGCCTCAGCAGTGTTGGGCTTCCATGTTGTCTCACTTGGGCAGATAGACTCCATTCAGAGGAGGAGGGCCAGGAAGCTGACCTAGTTAGCAGAAGGCAGAGGACAGCACCAGAGGTGCCAGCAAGACAGGAGAGGTGTCTGGCAGGGCCAGAGGGCACGACAGGATTTCAGGACACATCATCACCCTGAATCCCTTGAAATTCACACTGTAAGCACACCACTGCCCTGATGACAGTGTTTTGGCAACCTCAGACTACACCAATGCCCTACCTGGGTATCAGCATCACAGAAAGCGCCGTCAAGCCCTCTATCTTTTCAGTTCCAGTTAGCATCAGTGATGCCCTCTGACACTACCTGCACCTCTGTTACTGCTACTGTCTACTTCCATCAGGGTCACTATTGCTATGACCACCCTCTGACATCACCATCTCCATCATGGTCACCTCTGATGGTGTCACCATCGTTGCCTTCCCCATGATCGTCACTTTCACCGTCACCAACACCTCTACCATTTCAACCAGGATTCACCACCACCTCCATATACGCCATCATCATCACCTCCATCACCACCATAATCACCACCACCATTACTTTCCCTGTTGCCACCTTCATCCCCACCATCCCCACCATTCCTACCACTATGACCACCTCCTCCATCACCACCACCTTTTCCTCCTCCATCATCCCAGCACCGACTCCTTACTGTCACCTATCATTCCCTGTGGACACCTAGAGCTTGGTACAGAGTCGTTTCCTCCTTCCCTCCATCCAGCAGTCTCCTGTCTCTCCAGCAGTTAGTTGCCTTGGGACTTTTCCCACCCAGCAGATAGCAGCCTTCACCAAGAAGTGGGTGAGGGATATTACCGCACACTGACAGGGGCTTGCAGTGCCTCCTGGTGCCTGGCATCCCCAGTCCCTCTGCCACGCACTTGACAAAATCAGGTCACAAGAGCTTCTCTTCAGGGCCCCACTAAAGAGACCTGGAAGGTGGAGTCTCAGCCGCCCCTACAGTGCAAGCAGATGAGGAAGGCACATCCTGAGTGTTTCTCACTACTGGGTGTGGCGCTGCACCTTAACAAGCTGAGCCACACATTGCTTCCACTCCTTGCCACCTTCATGGAGTGTCACAATCACCACCACCATCTCCCCATGGCCTCTGTCACTGCTGGTAGCACCGTCATTACCTCCTGCTCCTCCTGTGTTCTCCATGTTCTCCACCATGAACATGGCTGTTACCACCACTACCTCAATGGAGGGGTGCAGCCGTCTTTACCTGAAGCCACCAGCAGCAGCCTGGGTTAGTGAGTGAGGACAGGTGTGGAGCATGGAGCCCGTCCTGCTCTTGGTGAGATGATTGTGAGTGATAGTGACATTCATCTCCAGAATCTATTGTCCTTCCTGGCCTGTGGGACTCAAGAGAACTGCTATGTCTCCTGCAAGGTGTCTGCAACTGAGAGCCCGGGAGCACTGGGAAATGAAAGAATGAGAGGGAGGATAATGGAGACAAAGACTTAAAGGTACAGAGGAAGAAAGGAGGAAGAGGGAGGAAGGAGGAGGAGGAAGGAGGAAGGAGGAGGAGGAATAGAAAGTAGGAGGAGGAGAATGGCATCTTAGAAGTCTTGGAAGTCCAGTCCCTTATTTACACTCTGAGGAGTTGGATCTGCTGCTTTCATTTGCTGCACGGGATGAGGTGAGATGGGAGCAGGGAGATCTCAATGCTGATACTCCAAACAGGATCCCATAGCAGAGCACAAGCCAAGTACCACAAACCTGGAGACTTTCCAGGGCTGCTCTGACAGCAGCTCCTGTGACACCACACAGATCTCCTCTCCATTAGCATCCTGTGTGCCATGCTCCCATCATGCACAATTTCCTTGTAGCTGTATCCCTCAGAGTTTGTCCGCTCTTTCACACCATCTACTCTAGAGGACAAATGTCCTCCAGGTCTACGATGAACTGGTTTCTACATTTTTTCCTTCCACGTATGAGACTACATTTGGTTTCTGGAGATCAGGAGGTGCCATGTCGTTGGAGGCTCCTGCTCTGTCTTCCTTCACCTGTAGTCTGTATTAATCACCTTTTATATCTGAGTTAAACAGAATGCATCTTCTCCTCTCTGGCCATCACAGCCCAGATGGTTATAGTTCCAGTTTCCTTCTCCCTCTTGGATTTGCTGTGTGACCCTGAGCTGTTGCTGTGCATCTCTGAGCCTCATGCATTAAACAGGTTTTGCTGATCGAACACTGTGGGCTGGGTCTGTCCCAGCTGACTGCCTTCCTAATGTCTGAGACTCTAGAGAATACAGGCCTCAAATATCACTGGCCCTGTCTACCCCAAGGTGCTTGGGACCTCTTCAACCCTTCACAGCAGCCAGACTGGGCTCACAGGACTGGTCCCAGGAAGTCCTTGCTCCTCTCGTTTGCCACTGCCATCTAACCTTGGTGTCACTGACCCTGCCTCTCCCCCTTTGGCTCCCAGGGAGCCCATCAGCCTCCATGTAGCCAAACTTACACTTCAGGCCTTCCATAGCTATCAGGACCCCCGCACCCTCACTAGACACACAATCCTGTGATGAGTAGAGCTTGGCTGAGGGGGTGGGGACATGCTACTCAGTGCTTATGTCACAAAGGGCCCTGGCCTTAGCTTGGAAGGGGCCACCTGGGCCTAGCCCAGAGCGACACTGTCCCTACCCCCAACCCCTCTCAGTGGAGGCCCCACCTGTCCCTGAGAACTGGAAAGATGGAAAGCTAAACTCTCACCACCCAGAGCCAGCAGATTCCAGCAAGTCCCCCACCCAAGGGAGGACCCCAGCCACTTGCCTCAGCCCTCCTCAGTCTGGTCCAGTCCCCTCCACCCTTGCCATGGCCAACTACTATGAAGTGTTAGGTGTGCAGTCCAGTGCTTCCCCTGAGGACATCAAGAAGGCGTATCGAAAGCTGGCTTTGCGTTGGCACCCAGACAAGAACCCTGACAACAAGGAGGAGGCTGAGAAGAAATTCAAGCAAGTGTCTGAGGCCTATGAGGTCTTGTCGGACTCTAAGAAACGCTCTATGTATGACCGGGCAGGCTGTGACAGCTGGAGGGCTGGTGGCGGTGGCAATGTCCCCCATGGCAGTCCCTTCGGTGCTGGCTATTCCTTCCGCAATCCTGAGGATATCTTCCGTGAGTTCTTTGGGGGACTGGACCCTTTCTCCTTTGATTTCTGGGACACCCCATTCAGCGACCGTGGCCGGACCCATGGTTTACGTGGGGCCTTCTCTTCGGGTTTCGGTGAGTTCCCAGCGTTCATGGAAGCCTTTTCATCCTTTGACACCCTGGGCCGTGGCGGGGTCAGCCGCACCACCTTCTCATCCACTTCCATCGGTGGCTCCAGCTCAAGCAACTCAGGGTTTAAGTCAGTGATGTCATCCACGGAGATGGTGAATGGTCGCAAGGTGACCACCAAGCGGATTGTTGAGAACGGCCAGGAGCGTGTGGAGGTGGAAGAGGATGGACAGCTCCGGTCAGTAACCATCAATGGCAAGGAGAAGGTCATGCGGGTGGACAGCAAGTGAGAGCCACCCAGCCCAGCCCTGGGCCAGTCACCATCACAAGGGGCCACAGTAGTCGCAAGCTAATGGTTAATAAATGTGCCAAGTGAGTTCATGTAGATAATTCTGTGTGGCTGCCACAGCTCCACAGACACACCCAGGAGCTTGTGGCCTCTGTGTCCTGCACCAGCTGTTTCTCATAGGGAGCCTAGACCAGACCAGGTCTTTAGGTGGTTGTTAATCTCTGTCATCTGCTCCATCCTGTCATCCTCATGCTCTACCTTACCTGCTCTTCGCATGTTCCTCCTCCAGGGTGTCCATCAGCCTCACAGCTCTCCTGATTAATTCCCACTTTTCCTTAATAACTAACCAAGTGGCAGCCATCCATCCCAGACCCAGGCTCGTGTCTTTCTTTCCTACACTGCTTTCAAACTTCCCACCTTTTCTGCTCATCCCCACCACGAAGCCCTTGTGATCTAACCTCAACTACCTCCCTGGCCTCAGCATCCCCATGCTCCCCCGCACCCCGTGACCTCCCATCATGCTTCTCTCTGCAAATACTCCAGGACTCTTGCATGGGTAGAAGGAGAGGTACCCGTCCTCCCCATGATCATGTTTGGTCCTGGGAACAGAGACAAGTGAAGTGAATATAAGCGACTTTGTGGAACGCCCCCAATTCTCACATAGCAGGCTTCTTGACTATATCATGGAAGAGGTAAAGGGAGGGGTTACAGAATTGACAGGCAGCTGAGCCAGCGTTGCATCCTGGGATTAGGGTAGAGGAACCAGACTTTAAACAGTGCTCATGGTGATTATTACTACAGTGAGGGCGACAGCAGGCGTGCACCAGCCAGTGCTTGCTTTCTTGGGGGCTGCAACAACCAACCACTGAGGACTCCAGACTTAGCACTTAGTGACAGAGTGTGGCTCTCAGGTGCGGGATCGGTCCTACGGGTGCTGAGCGCATGAGCCGGGCAGGCATTGTTCTCATGTGAAAGCTTCAGAAGGGTCCAGCCCATGGTGTAGAGAGGAAGGAAGTGAAATGCAAAGTTCTGGGGAACAGCAGGCCAAGATATGCTCTGGTGCTCATGGGGAGAAGCAAGAGGAGGCTAGGAGGTGTGAAGGGAGCCTGGTGAACTGAGGGGACCATGGAGAGCTCAACCCATTTTCCCACACAGTACTAGGAAGAGGACCATTTGGAGAGGAGTGCAGGCCACTAAGAGGTGGGCCCAGGAATCTTCTTCTTGTTCTAGGAAGCTAGGTATCACCCCACAATTTCCAGGGCCAGCCAAGTGCTGCCAGTGTGATGGCCAGAAGCTGTTGACCCCTAGGCCTGGTCTGGGTTCTGTTCCCTGGAATATGTCTCAGAGGTCCTCAGCCAGCCGGCAGCTGGAGGCCGCTAACCACGTTACTGGCTAGAGCAAGCTAGCTGGGGCACACAGAAGGCAGAGTCCAAGCTCCCAGCCCTGCTTGGGGACTAACTTTATCAAAGTCCCCATGGCACTAACCACCTGACCTCTGCCCTTGTTGACCTGCTAATGTCCCTGATCACTGACCAGCTACGGCTGCCTCAAGTGGGCCTGCTTAGGGCAGACAGCTGCTGGGCAAATCCAATTACAGCCTAGCAGCCCCAAACAGCCGCACACTCCAGTTGAGTGCCCAGAAGAAATCTGGATGCTTGCCAGACTTAGGGATTCCAGTATCCCAAGAACGCTGGTGCCAGGGACCACTAACTTCCCTCTTCCTGAGTCTCATTTTATGTCCTCTCTCCCTCTGGCACAGACAAGATATGTCATTCCCAACCCTACCTCAGGGCTGTCTTAGGTCCTCAACCCTGAGGCCCTGCAGGCTGTGGGACCTGGTGGGCTACCACAGGGTAGAAGGAATGCTCCAGGGAATAGACAGAATCTTAAGCTGGTTCAGGGTCCTTGGTTCTCCCCACAGTATTGCTTGGTATCACACTGTCCTCTGCTGGGCACACTTCTGAGAGCCATGGGCAGCATTCATTCTGGTTCTACCATGGGAATCCCATCTCAAGGTACACCTGTGTGGGTAGTAAGGTCTGCTAGTCTCTTTCCGGTTCACTAAATCCCTCCTGAAATCTCACTCTCTGTCATCTCCTGGGTAGTTTCAACAAGCCTCTCTGGGCAGGGCATTCTGCCCAGGATAAATGTCTCCTAGAGCCCTAGAGTCTAGAGCGAGGGCTGGCTGCCTGTACCCCGTCCGTGTCTTACCTCCCTGAAAGGGGCTCACCTGGAGACTAAACCACAGACCCTGTGGTGCTTTGGATCTGGGGGGACAATGTCTAACTTTACTCTGCTGTCCCCATCCTATCTACCTGGACATCCTACCCCTTTCCCTGTCCCTGTTTATTCTCACCCCATAGCCAAAGGAGTTTCTAAAAACTTAAAAGCAAAAGTCAAGGGCACTTTGAGACACTCACTGGCACAAGCCATCATGGCTCACCTCCTCCCTGCCTGCATCCAGCACAGTCCTGCCTCAGGACATTTGCAAGGCTGTGCCCTCTGTCACACCCTGCTTCCTCCCAGATCCCTTGCAGTCCGGCCTTAATCCTCTGCCCTCTCCCCCTTCCCAGCTTTTGCATAGTGTACCCCATTTGGACTCTACTACAGTTCATCCACACAGCTTTTCCAGTCTCAAAGGCCCTTTCAGGCTCTCTCTCTACTCTCCGTTCCCAAACTGCTACACCCTGCAGGGGCCCTGATTGTCAAAAAAAGACCTAACCCTGCTGGGGAGAATGTATTGCAGAGGGTGTCACATGCAGGATACCATGGCCTCACAGTGAGGCCCATGAGAAGGATCTAAAACCTCTGTAGGCTTTCAGAAGGCTAAGGGTCCTTGTGGGCTGAAGAGCTTCAGGCCTGCCCGCTGCTCCCGAGCTTTCCACTGACCTAAGCAATAAATATGATCAGCCTGTTTTATAGATGGAGAGACTGAGGCTCCAGGGGCAAGAGACCGGGCCAAGATCACCTGATCACACTGTGAGCTGGTTTGCCCCCTGGTCCTCTCCCTTGAGCAGGCAGGGTGGGTGGGGCACAGGCAGCCTCCCCTCCCTCTGGCCCGTGATGTTATCACAGCTGATTTAATTTCAAAGACGGATTGAGCCATGGTGGGAGGGAGAGCCACTATCACAGGGCCATCTGCCCTGTTGTCATGGGGATGGGCTCCCTGGATTGTGCGGGACCCAGATAAGGGAGTGGGCTGAGGGGGTGTGGGTGGTGGGACTGCAGAAAGACCAAGATCAGAGAGAGTCAGGGAGAAGAGGAACATGGAGGGAGGCATAGGGAGGAGGGACCCTGCAGGTTGGAGGGCTGAGCAGGATTCAAGCAAGGCCAATGGTTGCCACACAAGTGACTGGGCACAGCATGATTGTCCACCCACATCCTGCTCCACAGCCTGACCATGCAGCCAGCCTGCCATGGGCCTAAAGGTGCTCCTGCTGGTCTGGGACTCCTCTGTCCCCTGGGATAGGTGGTGCCAGACATCTCAGTCAGCCTGTCTGCTGTGACAGGTTGATACATCCCTGACAGCTCAGCTCAGCCAGGAGCCCAGTTACTTCCCTCCAGAAATTTCCAGAAGCTTCTACTGCACCATCAACAGTTACCACAGTGAACAGAGACTGCATTTTGCCAATGGCAGGGCAGTGCTGAGTGCACTGTGCTGGGCTGTGTCTGCCACCCCACCACCCAACCTCAAGCATCTCTCACACCTACCCTGCAGAGTGGGACTGTCAGACATCCCCCAGAAAAGATCTGAGCAGAGAGCCCCAGAACCCATGCAGCCACGACTGTCGCCTCTGAGGATGGCACAAGGGAAGGTGGTGGAAGGAGCCTGAAGTCTTGTCTCAGCTTGGCCCTCCAACCGAAGGCCTAGAACATTCCACCATAACATATGCTTTTCCCTCATGGGGGCTGGAGCAGGGGAGTTCCATCTTAATAATTCCAGGGCACCCTTTCTGCTCTTGTGGCAGCCTCTGGCTCACACAGGGCCACCTCTTTCTCCCCTCTCTGTTATCTTAATTGTAGAAAAGTACATGCAATGCAAAATTTACCACTTCAACCATTTTTCAAGGTGCCTGTCAGTGGCTTGAAACCCATCAAGGGTTCTGTCCCCACCACCCACCTCCAGAGCTTTTCCATCCTCCCAAACTGACACTGTTTCCACTAGACACCAATCTGTCCCCTCCCCAGCCCCTGGCACCCACCATCCATCCCACATCCTGTCTGGACCTGGATCTGGCAGCTGGGCGGAACCATGCCCATTGTTTAGTTACAAGAGGACTGGCCTCACCCTCCCTCTCCTTTCCAATCAGGTGCCATAGAGGATCGTTAAGTTTCAGTGTCCAGGGAATGCTGGTTCCTCCTCATGCTGGGCAGTTAGAACTGGTCCCGTTAATGGTGGGGTGGGGTCACAACCCCCCCCCCATATTTGGTGGTTCCTGGGTTGAAGCCATGGTGAGACTGGAATGCCCCAGTTCATACTCCTGGCAACATCAAAGCATACAAAAGAATATAAAGTAGGACAGCCGCAGTGTGCACCCCCTCCCCACTCTGCACCAGAGCCACTCTGGGAACAGTTGGCTAACTAATGGATGGAAAACTCACATACATCCGTAGCTTTTCTTTTTATCCAACTTTTTATTTTTTGGTTAAAAAAAATCTTTTTTTTTTTTTTTTTTGTTTTTGGATTTGTTTTTTTGAGACAGGGTTTCTCAGTATGGTTTTGGAGCCTGTCTTAGAACTCACTCTGTAGACCAGGCTGGCTGGCCTCGAACTCACAGAGATCCACCTACCTCTGCCTTCCAAGTGCTGGGATTAAAGGTGTGCGCCACAGACGCTTGGCCAAAAAAAAAAAAAAAAAAAAATTTGACATAGTGTCTTACTATGTTGCCTGGACTGACCCTGAACTCCTGGCTCAAGTGATCCTCCTGCCTCAGTCAGCTTCCTGAGGAGCTGAGGTGATAAGGGCAATCATGAATTATCCCTGGTCTGGAGGGGGCTATATCCCCAGCTACAGAGCCTGTGGGGCCAAGGCTGACTGTTTGCCTTCCATTACTTCTCTCTCTCTCTCTCCCTCCCTCTCTCTCTCTCTC